AACGATAGATTATTTGAAAATTGTGGTTTTTCATAATTGTTTGTCACAAAAGTCAAATAATGGAAACAATTTTTTTCTGTGTTGGTGTAATGTACTCAGGTGAATATAATGCTTGTGATGTTACTCTGAGTGTATATCCACACCAGGTAAGCTTGAAAAATATGCCTGGCCACGGTGGGAATCCGAGAACCTACAACCTTTGGAATACTAGCCCAATGCTCTGCCAACTGAGCTAGTATTTCAAAGGGCTGGTATTCCAAAGGTCGTAGGTTCGATTCCCACAGTGGCCAAGCAAGCAAGCTTTTTAGCTTGCCCGATGTGGATGCACACTCAGAGTAACATCACAAACATCAAGTTAGCAATAATGGACAAATTTGTATGCGACCAGTTCTAGGAGACGCGGGCGGAGGAGGGGAAACTAAAGTCTAATTTGGAGTGGCCATAGGAGGTGAACAAAATGCGCATTAAATCACTTCAAATACGATTGAACAAGTCACACGATAGGAGTAACAATATTATTTGCTTGATTTTATTCATAAAAATAATCCATATTTTCACGGCATTTTAGAGAAATAACCAGAAATTCGTTATTATTCGGTCGCTTTGTTTATATTTGCATAAATTATATATTATTTAATTACTGTTTTCCATATTTCACGTTGACAATACGTCGTGTTTTCCATATTTTTTACGTCAAACTCCGTGTTTTCCATATTTTACGGCGGACTCCGTGTTTTCCATATTTTTCTCTGACGTCAGACTCCGTGTTTTTCCATATTTTTCTCTGACGTCAGACTCCGTGTTTTCCATGTGACTCCGTGTTTTCCATATTTTTATGACGTCAGACTCCGGGACTCCGACTCCGGAACTTCGACTCCGTGTTTTCCATGTAACCGCTTAGACAATGTCTATTTTTAAAATTACTTCGCCAACGTACTCATAAGATGGGTCGTTTTTATTATTATTATTATTATTATTAACATTTCCAAACTAGCAGTAACAACTGAATTGCTTTGGAATTACAAGGTATAAGAACATAGGTCATAGGTATTCAATCTATTTTATATTTACAGGTAAAAATAGGTAAGTTAGATAAAAATTACGATAACAAACTAAAGTTTACTTATTATTATAAGTACGAGACGCAGCAGGAATGAAACTGTTCGAAAAACGTTCAGTTCTACACCTACAATCGTCCACAAAATATTTGAGACAAACCCCCTCCCCCGATTTCAATGTTGTTAGGCACTACAATATAGTTTAATTCCAACATCATATGTTAAATTTCAACTGCCAGTGACACAGTTACAGTTCTAGTGTCACCTTATGTTCGTTTTGGATAAGTACCGTAGGTTTCAACATTGAAATAAGGGGGGAGGGGATTGATTTAAAAAGTCTCAATATATTTTGTGGACGATTGTCTTAAAAATTGATAAGACTTAGTTAAAAGCATCTCGAAGTTTTCAGTGAAATCACTTTGCGTGCATGTGTAGTAGTCACTGTAGATGATACTATTCGGGTTATTGCTCACATGTAGAATAGTACAGTACTGTCAAGTCGCCCGGGGGGGGGGAGATATAAAAGAAATGGGGGAGTGTTCCAAAAAGTATCAGTATATATTTGGTAGACGATTATAATAGAAATTAAGAAAACTTAGATGGCAGCAGCTCGAAGTTATTTGAAAGCATGTTATATGCGGGCACAATAGCTGGCGGGGGGGGGGGATAATTTAATTTCCAGAGGTGTGACAAAGATTAAATATTTAAGCAATTTGTGTGAAGTAATATTTGCGTCTTACTATTCACTATAATTTGGGTAGTATTGTGAAGTCCATACAAAGATCTCTACGTTGTATAATGGTACCATATCAAGTCTTCTTCTGAGCCGGGTGGGATTGGGTGCGGGGGGGGGGGGAGGGCGGTCGAGTACATCCTTGGATAGGTCATTTAACTTAGAGAATTAACCGTGCATAGTTCTTAGAAAAAGTCGTATAACTTCACATGGATTAATAATACTTTAGTTACTCAAGTTAATGGATAATTGAATGTTGATGAAACTATAAGCATTTTTTAATTAATTTTTGATTACTTGGTGGGGCAAAGTTTTAATTTATTCAAGTAACCATAAACTAATGTTTGATATGGCATTTGAAATATAAATTACTAAAGCAACGTGTTACCACGCATTGCCACATGCGTTACCATGTACTAATTGTTTTATAATATGGCTTTTCTATTACGAACAGAACACATTACCACGCGTTACCATACGCGTTACCATGTACTAATTGTCTATTTGGCTTTTCTATTACTAAAACAATGCATTTCCATGCGTTATCTCAGATAACCATACGCGTTAACGCCTAGTAATTCTATTCATTATGGTATTTTGTTGATAAAGCAACGCGTTACCACGCGTTACCGTCAAGTTTTTAATACAATGTATATAGTAGTTTTTTTAAATAAAAGATGGTAACGCGTGGTAACGCGTGCGCAACTCATGGTAACGCGTTGTTAGTCATTGCTTGCATATCGATCTTGTAGTTTTGAACCATTAGAAATGAACTTTTATTGCGGAAGTTTTATTGTAGCAATAATAACTATTTGATATTAGTGGTAACACGTATGGTAACGCGTGGTAACGCGTTGTTAAATTTGAATTTGGAGCTGAAACAGTAGCCCATGCATATACATTAATTAAACTAATCCAAATGGCTAATTTCCAGTTTGAGAACGAGGTTGTTTACATGTTGGCGTTGTTCTTGAATTTACATAGTACTTTAAAATAGAAATATCTTGATTTGTGATAGTTGCATGTTATTCATTGTTCATTATCGATATATTTTTTCGAATCGAAGGCAAGCTTGCGAAGGAACGTTAGATGCCTGTAAGGTATGGATTTTAACTAACTTGGACAAACTATCGCATAATATAATACTTGTATATCGGCATGTATACTATGTAGTCCAAATATGTTATGCAAATTTTGTTCGTATACATTAACATAAGCGCTGGCAAAGAAAATATTATGCAATAAATAGGCAAAACCTGTGCTCGATTTTCCCCAATTTTCAGACAATCGTCCACAAAATATTTGAGACAAACCCCCTCTCCCGATTTCAATGTTGTTAGGCACTACAATACTGTTTAATTCCAACATCATATGTTAAATTTCAACCGCCTGTGCCACAGTTGCGGTGCTAGTGTCACCTTATGTTCGTTTTGGATAAGTACAGTAGGTTTCAACATTGAAATAAGGGGGGAGGGGATTGATTTAAAAAGTCTCAATATATTTTGTGGACGATTGTAGGTACTAATAGGTTGGAACAAGACCTCAGATCATAAGTTTGAAGATTTTTAGGCGGTACTAAGGCATTCAGTTTATGAGTGGGTCCCAACATCTTCGAAAAAAGACGCTTGCAAAGAACTGTTCTACGTTCATAAAGAGTCATTAAGTTTGCTTTACGCAAACATTCAGCATAGTAGGCCGTTTGCCGTGACCCAATATCGTTCACTTTCATTAAGCATGTCGTGGAACTGAAATATTTTCATGGTAACTAACATTTTCGAACACGCTGAATTCAAATCCGAAAAGTTGCCGCTCCGTAGACCCGCAGTTTTTTCACAAATTGCATTTGTATTTTCAGTTTTTCGACGAACAAAAATAAACACGCGCCATTTTGAAACTAAAAAACATCACTCAGAGTATGCCGTTTTTGCTCCCCAGTCTCCAATGCTTATGACCGAGTAACCGAGTTTAAGATTTAGAGCAATGTTATTAAATTTGCTGCAAAACAAACACAGTCACGTGGTTTTAAAAATGGCTAGTCTGAGTGATTTTCAGTTTATTTGCCAGTAAAATCGCTAAAGAATGAGAAATAAAAGTTTAAATTATTTATTTGGCAGAGAAAAGCAATAAGGTAGGTGTTCTCTGTGTATATTTTTTGAGTTTGTTTAAGGCTAAAATGGCCTATACAAGAACAAACAAGTGATTAAGTGAACAACCATCACGATTTATTCAGGTTAGCTCTCAGACAAATGTAAGGAAAGGATTAATTAAGGCCATTTGCTTGAGGACTCACAGTAAAATTGTTTCATATCAAGTTTGCTGTTTATGGGAATTATTACATTGATTTATCACCCCATGAAATGTCAAGATGGCCAACAAAACCATGAACATGTGTATAGTATAAATGATTGTGTATGTAAAACTTTATTTCAATACGCTAACTTCGACAATTATTTACAACTGGTTTCCACGAAGGGCGTATACACACAAAGAGCTAAATGTTAATTATATATAGAACAAAATATGTAAGAATCCCACCCTAAAATTTTATCATGTTCCTCCCAAACCTCCACCCCCTAAACAAGTACCCAACCACCCTTACGCAAAACTAACCCCACTCCCGCCCACAATCTATATTGTCCTCCCATCATTTGGTCCTGGAGAAATTAGCTTATCATCTGCTTAAATGCAATTTCGCCATTGTTTTAAATGACGTAATTGACTCAGCCGCCTTGACATCTTGCAGGAGACTATTCCATAGAATTGCTCCACTGTATCCAAATGTTTTCTTTAGAAATTCCGTTTTCGGTTTTTTTAACGAGAGATCAGTTTCGCTATTGCGTAAATCATAAATATTCTGCGATGCATTTCTCCAAGAAAAAAGATCTTTAAGGTTTGGCGCAGTGTGGTTCCCCAAGACTTTATACATCAATACTAGCTAGTTTGTTTTGTTCTCGTCTCCTAGCCAGGGTTTCCCAGCCTAATTTGTTTAGGACTTCAGACGATCTTACATCGTAGTCAGCTCCGGTAATCACCCTTGCTGCTCGATTTTGGAATTTTTGCAATTTGTCTTGAAGTCCAAAACCACAGTTATCCCATAAGGGAGAACAGTAATCAAAATGAGGCTGAATTAATGTTTTGTAGACATCATGTAAGGTTTTGTGTGGAACATAAGGTTTTATTCTTTTAATTGCTCCTATTCCAGCGCTAATCTTATGGCATACAGAATCAATATGTTTCTCCCAACTTAATTTTTCATTTAGATTTACACCTAGACATTTAAATGTATT